TTTTCCAGTCTGTGTTAAACAAACAAACAAACAAAAAACCCAGTCTGCTCGCTTAGAATCCACTACTGAGTCCTGACTGGAAAAAATGCTGCACCAGGACACAGTGACGAAGAGTGAGCAAGCTGGGAAGTCACCAGGTTTACATTCAAGCCGGAGCCCCTCCACTTAGAACTCTGCACTTTGGTCGGTTAATTTACCTTTCTGAACCTTAAGTTCCTCAGTTGTAAAACGGGGGTAAGCTACTTCATTGGGTTTTTGCTAGTAAGCCCTCACGATCGCTTTTATTAGGCTGGTTCAGGGAAGTCGCTAAGGTTTCCAAAATTGTCCCGCCTAGTACCCAGAGAACATAAGTCATTCCATGCATTTGTAGAGCAAAGCCCCATAGCTGAAAGCCTCCATCTGTTTCCCACACTTGTGCACACACTGGACTAAAGCTCAGCCCTCTGAAGTTGGCACCTAAGGCCAGGGCAGCCTGGGCTGTGCCTCATCTTTGGTCCCTGTCCTTGCATCTCTGAATAGCCTTGTCCCCAAGCTTGAGGTCCCTTGATTCTCAACAACACGCTCTGATATGTCTTTGTCTTGGATCATGCAGTCTTCTCTCCTTTTGAAATGCCTCTCTTTTATTTTTGCTTCAACAACACCTACACAGGCCTCAAGATCAAGCTCAAAGGCCACCATCTGTGTATTAGCCTGGGTACTAGATCCCTATGTAGAATCACTGACTTCCTCCTGTGAGCCTCAGCCCTTTGGACATGGCCCCACCACAGCATCTGGTATATCCAGGTAGGGCTGACTCCCGAGTGCTTTTCTCCCCTTCCCCCCAAATCTTGTCCCATTATTTAATGGGGGAAAAAAGGGGGGCTGGGGGAGACACCTAAGGTAAGTATTTAACATCTTTGGAAAGCAGACATTGTACAACTCCAAAATAATCTTACTATAATTAAATAACCATTGCCTAATGTGAGCATTTCACACGCATTTAGGACACAGGTTGGGGCTCAGTTCCAGCCTTGCAATTTGGCTCAGTTTTTTTCAGACGCACATTGAATATCAGGTATGTGGGTGTCCCTTTGTCCTAGCTGTGGTTTTAATTCTAGGAAACACAGAGCTGAGACTAAGCCCTTGCCCTGGGGAGCGGTGGGGGAGAGGGGTGATGGGAGAACAGTGAACATAAATTTAATCCTTTTGCAAACAAACAAAAAATGAAGTCCATGAAATGCAGCTGTTGTGGGGTTGTGTGTCTTGTGACATGCCTGGTGGACCTGTCACAGATGCATTTTTGGGTTTTTTGGGGTTTTTTTTTTTTTTTTCGTTTTGTTTTTAAAAGATTTTATTTATTTATTTGAGAGAGAGAGAGTAGTGAGGGAGGGAACACGAGCAGGGGTAGTGCGAGAAGGAGAAGGACATAGAGGCTCTTCAGCAGACTCTCAGCATGGAGCGTTGCTGGGGCGGGGTGGGGGGGGGTCGTGGGCGTGGGCTCCATCCCAGGAATCCTGAGATCATGACCTGACAAAAATTGAGAGCCAGAAGCTCAACCCCTTGATCAGGAGTTTTCTTGCTCAAGATCAAAGACTAGAGGGAAAGGAGAAAAGGAGGTGGCCAGAGGGATTTGGCACATAAATGAGAACATCTCTGCCCTAATTTCTCCACACGAAAAATAGAGGGGAAAGGTTTCTGCTGTGTGTTCATGACTGACCCTGGGGGAGATGGTCGCTCTGACTTTGGAAAGTAACTGTGTTACCACCCCTAGAACCAGGAGGAGAGCTCCAGAGTTCTAGAGGCCGCGCTATCTACCTAGGCTGAAATTCAAATATTTGCCAAATTGCCTACCCGCTCCCAAATGGTCTCTGCATTTCTCAGCCTCCTAGACAAAAGGGAGGGAGCCAATTCTGCTCAGATTGAAATGCAAGGCTAACTTTGGGGTCTAGGTTATTGGCTAGCCTACCTTAGGCACCATATCTGGTCGAGCCCCTCCTGTATTTTCTCTCACCCTCACTCATTCCAAAAATGGTGGCAAATGTACCCATTACATTTGTATATTACACCTTGATATCCCATCTACCCATGACTATAGTGTAAGCCCCTACTGTATAGTTTAAAATTGTTCAACTGATCTTGCTTCTACTCAAATCTCTTTTAAATCAGTGTGTGCTTCCACACAGGACCAGGTTGATCGCTTTAGACGCATCTATGTCCCTGTCGCTCCTAAAACCCTTCAAGAACTCCATGACAATGTAAGAAAGTATCTGAGCTTCCTACCTGTTCCACAAGACCTTTTGTGTTCTGGTCCTGCAATCTCTGTGAGCTCACATTTTGTACTCCACGTATGCTAGCTGCTCGTGATTTCCCAGAACTTTGCAGCCTTTGTGTCTACGCTCTTGTGATTTCCTCAGTGCAATCAGGAAATTTCTATCAGCACTCAGATCAGCTGCGACTTCTTTACGGGAGCTTCCCTTGACCAACGCCCCCTCCGCCCCGCCAACTACTTTTGGTCAATGGTGCCTCCTTCATATTCAGCTAGAACACTCTGCCCATTTCTATCATTATCTCTGTCACTTAGTTCTCAAGTTATGTCTTCACACAACTACCTCCTTCATGTGGATAGTGTGAATCCAGTATTTACTCAGTTTAACCTAAATTTATTTTGAGGGGCACATGGGTGGCTCAGTCGGTTAAGCATTTGCCTTCGGCTCGGGTCATGATCCCAGGGTCCTGGGATCCAGCCTCAGGTAGTCGGGCTCCCTGCTCAGCAGGGAGCCTGCTTCTCCTGCTGCCTACCGCTCCCCCTGCTTTTGCTCTCTTAATCTCTCTGACAAATTAATAAATAAATAAAATCCTTAAAAAAAATAAAAATAAATTTTAAAAAAATTGATTTTCGCTCTTTTAGAACTTGCAATAGTACCAAGATTCTTCCAGGAATGGGGCCTTGGCACAACTGATTCTGTCTGGAATAGTTTTCTTCCCACATTCTCCTTATTTCCTACATAACACAGACTCTAATTTCAAATTATTTATGAAGGTAGCACAGCTGGCAGTTAACAGCCCAGGTACTGATACCACAAGTGCCTCATTTCAAATGGCACAATGAGTGACCTTAAGCCCTTTTCTCACTTTGTGTGTTGTGTCTGGGCACACGCTGTATGGGGTTCCTTATTTATAAAATGAGACTACTAATCCTAGTTATTAATCCTCCTGGGTTGAGTAAAATGAGATATTACTATGGGCTAAATAGACTGCAACCCAGAACATAGCTTAATGTTTAAGGACTCTCTACTTAAAAAAATTTTTTTTGGTGTTTTTTCTTTTTCTTTCTTTTTTTTTTTTTTTTTTTAATTACTGAATGGCTTGGCACTGTAAGCTCCAGGGAGGTGGGGACTTTGCCATCTTCTTCACTATTGTGTCCCAGTGCCTAGCTCAGTGTATGGTATTTGCTAAATAAATCCACATGCTCTGAATGACCAAATAAATCCCGATCCTTACTTTGGAGCATTAATTGGAGACAAGTAGGGAACTGTGGCTGCTTAAAGCCGTATCAGTGGCCTGCTTTAATCAGCAACGAACTTCTAAGCCTTATATTCACTTGGCTACATAAAAAAGCAACTCTCTTTTTCCTTTAGTTTAAATGAAAGCACTTGGGTCAAAGTTAGACGAGTGGAGGCATTCTTCTTAAATTTCTGTAAGAGGAACATGGCTCTTATTTACTTGATTCAGAACAGAGAGTATCCTATCTACAATTGACTGAGAATCTGCTGGAATAAAAATGCTCAGTTTAAGGTGACCTTGCTCTATGGAGAACAGAGTCTTAGGATGATGTACTGAGAACCAGATGACACACAGTATCAAAATGACAAAGTGATGTAGGAGCTGAAATCCAACAATGATCCTGGATTTTATTTTAGTGAAAACTTTAACTTCTTCCAGCACAAACCATCATTTGAAATCAGAGGTATAGACAGAGAAGAAAGGACAATCTTTCACTTTTTAGTAGGGTGAGAGGTAAAGTTCTGAAAAGGAAGGAAAGTCTAAAGTCAGTTTCCCTGGCTTAGTTTATGTGATTTTTTAAAAAAATCACAAAACTTTCCACCTAAAGTTGTTTTCTTCTTAGATTTTTTTTTTTTAAGCAATCTCTACACCCAACATGGGGCTTGAACTCATAACCCCGAGATCAAGAGTTGCATGCTCTGCCAGCTAAACCAGCCAGGCACCCCTCAGCCAAAAGCTTTTTAAAAAGTAACTCAGTTGGGTAAATGGAATGAGAAGAGTTATGCTAGAAAACCCTGCTTGAGGAAGGCTGAATACAGCCAAGGCAGACAGGATAATACAGTAGCTACTCACTTCTTGCTCTCAACAGACCAGTCCCGTGGATCATTGGGAGCAAAGGGCTACAAGTTCTGTTCACACTGCCCGAAAGCCCATAGGCACCAAAGGACCTCCCCATCCTGAGCACACAAGACCCAGGGCCAGCCCCTTCATTTTCCAACTCCAGAACCAGTATCAATTCTTTTGCTGACCCATCACATGTGTGTCAAACATTTTCAGTCATGCCCTGCATTGTATGTTGTTTGTTACATTACATAATCTCAGAGCTTGAAAGTCATGACTTTGTGCAAAACTTCAACATAGGCAGGTGGTAATGGTTTCAGAGGAAAAAGGGGAGTAGGCTTCCTAGTATAGATCTGGGGTCTGGCCACTAGACTAGGGAACCCAGCTAATGCATCTTAGCTCCCTTCTTAGGAAAAGACACTAACAGTGGCGATTCCCTCCCTGGGCAAATGATAGGTGGCTTGCTTGCTTGCCTCAAGAACCCAGAACTTCTTATCTTTAAGACCCAAGTACCTTTCCTTGTTGATAATTTTTATCTCTAGAGTCTTCCAACTATAAGCCAGATGAAAGAGCTATTCTAGCCCTTTCCTCCAACAGAAAACCGGAGGATGAAGAAAGACAGCTGTGGGAGGATGAGGGGATGAGTGGGGAAGGGGATGGGCCAACTGTACACTTACCACTTTTTGGTTCCCTTCATTGTCGGTGAGCAGCCATTCGATATCCAGGGTGTCTTTTTCTGGAAGCCCCAGCTGATGGTGACAGGGCAAAGTGACCTTTTCTTCTGCCACTCGCTTGATCTCAGTGTGAGTCCCCAAGGTTCCAACATAGTAGGAAACTGGAAGAGGAGAGCATCTTCAGAAATGCACAGCAATGTGTGGGAAGCAAATATTACAACTAATAATTATGGGGTGTTCCTGTGGGCAAGGGTCAAATCATGGTGTTGGAAGAATCCCAGACCAGAGGTACCAGAAGTCCCAGAATCTCCCACTGGCTCCTCTTTAACTGAATTCATCATTAGCTTCTGGAACCCCCTGAATTCTTAGCGATCCGTACTTGTCCTCTTTCCTACCTTCTTGGTTTTTATGAATGATGAAATAAATCACTCAGGTCAACAACTTTGTTTTTTGAACTTTCTCTCCTTTACCAGCAGAGGCTTGCAAAAGGGCAGAAACCAAAGGAAAGGCAGGGGTTGGCAACCTTCCCAGAACAGGCTCCAGATATCACTTGGCCCCTTGAGCCACCCTTAGAGAAAGGCTACCCCCACAGGCCGACAGGTAAGGGCAGCAGGCCTCAGGGAACGAGTGGAATCTTTTTTTATTTTTTATTTTTTTAAAGATTTTTATTTATTTATTTGACACAGAGAGAGATCACAAGTAGGCAGAGGCAGGCAGAAAGAGAGAGATCGGGAAGCAGGCTCCCTGCTGAGCAGAGAGCCCGATGCAGGGCTTGATCCCAGGACCCTGATATCATGACCTGAGCTGAAGGCAGAGGCTTTAACCCACTGAGCACCCAGGCGCCCCATGAGTGGAATCTTATAGGCAGTTCTTGATTCCGTTAGAGACCTCATTCTCTGCCCCTCCAAGTTCTATCTTCCAGTCTCTATAGTCTCATCCCACGTGGCTTCAAAATAGGAAGGAACCCTTCCTGTCCAAAGTGAAATCCCAAGTTACCATATTGGGATCCTGTCCCTCCACGCATCCAGTATCCCCCTGGCCAACAGGATTTCAGTTCCACTTTTGGCTTTCTTTACCCCTAATTTTCATCTTGTTCCAGGAATAGTGTCCCACCAGCAACTCTAGGCTCTAAGTTCACTCACCTTTTCTCCTTCCTGTTCATTTCGGACCCTGTGGACTATTAAATCCACAGTGTTAGAGAACGTCACCTGGATTCTAGGTATCACCTGTCTGGCATGAAGGTGTGCTCTAAGATCCTCCTTTGCCTCCTTGCATACAATAAAGGAGCTCAGAGTGAAAAGCCACTCACAATGCTCCTCCGCAAGGTTCACAAGGTAACAGAATCATACCACCTCCAAGCTGGGACAGCCCCATGTGTCAGGGTTTCTGGTGAAGTCCCGTCTCCTGGGGAGCACTCATTCTGCCCCTTTGGAGCACTAAAGATCAAGGATCGTGACTCACAGAAGCAGATAAGCTACCTTTCTTATTCCCCGTTCCTTTCCCAAGATATTAGCAATCAATCTGTGGGAAGGAAAACGGCCTGAAAGGAGGAAGAAGGAAGCAGGGGAAACTGTAGTTCCCTCTACACAGTAGGCAGGCTGGGTTGATACGGCAGGGCTGGGCCCTCAGAGGCACCCGCCAGCCCTGCCAACAGAAATAGCAGGTGGATTCCCAAGCTCCAGGGCAGAGAAAGGAGACTACAGATATCTGTAGGGCCTAAGAAACGGCCTTCAGAACCAACAGGATAAGTCCCTCATAGGGTTTTACTGACATTCCTAATAAGGTTTCTGCTATTTCTGTTTAAAACTTGAAACTGCAAGGGGAGTGGCCAGTTAGGGAGTAGTTGTGTGGTTTGGCTGTACACCGATGACTCAGCCCGATGAAGAAAGGGTGATTATCCAAATCTACAGATGAAGCATGAAGACGAGCTTAGCAATTTGTTCAAGATCACGCAGCCAGGAAAGGACAGATCAGGGGCTCAAGCCCAGATGTGTCTCACTGCAAAGCTCCTACTCCAATAGCCATGCTAGGCAGCTTCTGGCTTCCTGGACACGTGGTTCTCCCATTAGCCTGCAAGCTCCTTGAGATCAGGTACCAACTGACCACAACCTTCCCAAAGCGCTCAGCCCAGGACCCTTCACTCTGCAGGTGCTCAATAAACAATTGTTGGATTGACTTGAATTTAACCCATGGACTCATTTCACCTGGGAGCAGACTGAGGCCCAGGGATAAGGGAGTTGCCCTGAAGTCCTACAGCTCCTTTAAGGCATAACCCATATAAAACCTATCCTCCCTCAGGCCCCATGAAGCAGCTATAGAAAGGCAAGGAGATTAGCCAGTTTGCATCACACTAAGCTAAGCGTGGAAGAAGGAGCTCTGGCTTCTACCCCTGCTCACTTGGATACAATGATCAAATGAAACCAACATCCCATGCCCCTGGTGAAGCTGGAGAACCAAGGACCAATTTAGTGCATACAGTAGGCACTATGCCTCAAATAAATAAATAAATAAATAAATAAATAAATGCGAAGAAACAGCTATGAAAGTTGCTGATTTGAGCCACTAGAGGGAATCAAAGGCTCAGGTTTGGTTGATGTCCCAAAAGGAAAGGAACACGGTGGTGGGTGGTGTGCTTTGCCAGCATGTGAAGTTCTATTTATACCATAGCCAGAACTAAATACAGCCCCTCAGGGAGGGGGCTGCCCAGGGAATACAAATGACTTTACCACGGCAGGGAAACTCAAGATGAGAGGGCATGCATCTCTAGTCTTCCCTGAACTTCAGCGCCCCAGACTTCGGGACGGGGGGCTCACTGGGATCCCTGTGAATTTCTCAAGTTTTTCCTTTTGTGCATCCCCCTCCCCACCCCTACACCTGTGTTCTGTAGCCTAAGCAGACAGGGGTTGGGCTCTGTATGGAATTCTTGGGCCTGGGGAAGCCTGGGCGGCTCAGCCGGTTGAGTCTGCCTTCGGCTCAGGACAGGAATCCAGAGTCCAGGGATTGAGCCCACATTTGGCTCCTCGCTCAGTGGGGACCCTGCTTCTCCCTCTGCCCGCTGCTCCCCCTTCTGTGCTCTAACAAATGAATAAATACAATCTTTTTTTTTTTTAAGATTTTATTTATTTATTTGACAGACAGAGATCACAAGTAGGCAGCGAGGCAGGCAGGGAGAGGAAGGGAAGCAGGCTCCCTGCTGAGCAGAGAGCCCGATGCGGGGGTGGGGGGGGTGGGGGGGTGGGGGGGGCAATTCCAGGATCCTGAGTTCATGACCTGAGCTGAAGGCAGAGGCTCAACCCACTGAGCCACCCAGGTGCCCCTGAATAAATAAAATCTTAAAAAAAAGAATTCTCGGGTTTGGCAGTGGACAAGCACATGTCTCCACTGCCCCGTGGGTGAGTGGGAAGAGCTAGCTCTAGGCTCCCAGGCATTGAAGGGTTCATCTTTATTAAGAAAGACTGTAAGAGATCATCAGAATTTAACTTAGGAGGAAACTACAGCCCAGAGAATTGGAAATGTTGAACAGAACTGCAAATAGGGAAATACAGCCGATCCTTGAACAATGCAGGGATGGGGCACTGGCGCCCCCTGCAGTCCAAAATCCACATATAACTTCTGACTCCAAAACTTGATTAGGAGCCTACTGTGGACAGGAAACTTTACTAATAACATAAACAGGCAATTAACATATATTCCGTATGCTATGTGCACTGTGTACTGTATTCTTACAATAAAGTCAGCTAGAGAAAAGAAAATATTAAGAAAATCATAGGGAAAACACATGTACAGTACTGTACTGTAAGAAATCCACATGTAAGTGCATCCACACAATTCAAGGGTCTCCCCTGGGTGTCTAGGATGTGCCCTGCACTTGATGGTGGGGGGAGATGCTGGGAGGTACCAGTGGTACAAACATTCTCTGTGTGCACATCCAAGATTTAGTCCTGGAAGCCTCCAGCTTTCCCTAAGGGAAGGCTTCTAATACAACTCGGGCACTTAACACAGGCCATTTGAGAGCCAAAGCTTGGGAGAATTACCCTCCCTGAGCCTTACCATTCTCATCTGCGAAATGGGAATTGAAGGAGACACTGACTAAGGCACCCAGCACAGTGTCAGCACATAGGAGTCTCCCCGCTAAAATGTCAGTTCCCTTTCCTTGCTTTTCTTTACGACGAGAAGGGTCGTTTTATTTTCTCAGATGATGGCTGCCTACATTCAGCTAAGATGAGTTCAAGATTTTGTTCTCTAAAAGACATTTACATTTATTAAAGATTTTCGTGAGCCTGTAAGACTTTCAAAGAGATGGGCAGGGGTAACTTTTTCGTTTTCATCATGTATACTTTTTTTTTTTTTTAAAGATTTTATTTATTTATTTGACAGAGAGAGATCACAAGTAGACAGAGAGGCAGGCAGAGAGAGAGGAGGAAGCAGGCTCCCTGCTGAGCAGAGAGCCCGATGCGGGACTCGATCCCAGGACCCCGAGATCATGACCTGAGCCGAAGGCAGCAGCTTAACCCACTGAGCCACCCAGGCGCCCTCATCATGTATACTTTTATATAACTGAGGGAAGTAAGACATAATTAGAAGATGAAGCCATTGAGAAGAGACTAGTACATTTTATTTATTTATTTTTAAAAGATTTTATTTTTTAATTTATTTTTTAAGATTTTATTTATTAATTGGATACAGAGAGAGGGAGAGCACAGACAGGGGGAGCCAGAGAAGGAGCAGCAGGCTCCCCACTGAGCAGGGAGCTCAATGCAGGGCTTGATCCCAAAACCCTGGGATCATGACCTGAGCTGAAGGCAGACGCTGAACCAACTGAGACACCCTGTCCCTGTTGTTAGACCTTCTAACAGTCCTGCCTGATAGCAGAATGAGCAGTAACAGTTAGTGAACTTTCCATTATTGGAGTCATTCAGGCAGGGGATATGTCAGGAGCTGTAAAAGCGATCCTTACATGTGGATGATGAATCAATATTTAAAGTTCTTTCTAACTATAATATCGTATGAAATATTAACTGATAATATTAATATTCAAGGCACTGTCCTCGTTGAATGGGATGCAAAGTATAAGACACAAATGTATACTATTATCTGTCAATGTGTTTTGTCACCATCAATCGGCTCATACACAATTGATATAAACGATCTCATTCTGTTT